AAAAAAAACACCTTTGCCAAAAAAAAAAAAAAAACAAATGCTCACAAAATAAAGCAATTGGCTCTAAATTAGGCAGATTTCAAACTCTTCCAATTGATTAGATCAGACATTGGTATCGCCATAAAGTTGAAAATGCAAAGCCCATTCTTTAAACTTGTTTACTGTCACTAAAAATAAACTGCAGTCCGTCCCTAAAGAGACCCGCCCAGTGGGCTGATCAGATCGTTAATTCATAGCATGTATACGCGCGCGTTCCACAGCTGTGGATAAAAATAGGCAACACGCAGTCCGTCCCTAAAGAGAACCGCCCAGTGGGATGATCGGATCGTTGATTCACAGCATGAAAACTCACATGTTCCACAGAGACTCTCGCTGCTAAAAATAACTCATTACAGAATGCATTATAAGTGGGCAGTCTCTGTGATTGGTGTGTTTGGTTGGATTGGCTGTTGTTGGGCAAAAACTAAACCTACGACATCAAGAAAGTTCAGGCAAAGGCTGGCCTAGCTCGAAGTAAAGACCAAAGCCTAGGCGCCTATGCCTACTATATGACTATATCAGGGTGTTTCCTTCCATTTGATGCTCAAGTCATTACTTTTTTTTTACCTGGAATATAGGCCTAGTTTTGGATAGGCCAACTGAATCACAGGGCAGTTGTTTAAATGCATCTGCCACTTTGATAAACAACGTCATGTTCGTTCTTTTTATGCACACATGTATCCCTGGGTATAATCCCACCCTCCTTCCACCTTAAAAAAAAAAACAAAAAACCTCCCTCCTTCATCAATTTAAAAAAAAAAAAAAGAATGATAATAGTTTTTTCTATGTGCCCTAAGGTCCAAATTCTCAAACCAACCATGTTGGGGCTGAGGTGGTGAGGATTCCCAGGCACCCCCTACTACCAACTTCTGCATCACCCCAGTGTATAGTTACATGCAAAATTGGTAGGGGACCAGTGCAAATCCTGGTCACCATTATAAACAATCCCCATAAAAAAATATTAGAGACAATATTAAAACGAACAATTTTTATTTGGTACCACATTTAATAAGTTTTGATTCATCTTTTGTAATTTTCAATGCTCCATAACAAAGTCTTATTTTTTCATACCTCGTTTTGCAAACCTTCCACTTGCTGATAATTATTTCAATATAATGACGTTTTGACCAGTTACATTCATAGCACACCCACTACCAGGAAAAATAGGAAATTTGTTCTTTATTTTTTTTTTTCAACCCACATCCGACGACAAGATACAAAAACAAACAAAAAAATTATTGCCTTAAGAGACAATATAAACATTGTCAAAATGTATTTTATTCTCCTCTAAAATAATTCAAACAGTTGAGCGTTTTGGCGTTGATGATTTTTAGTACTACACCAAATCCAGTATCACTATGTTATTGTTAAGGTTAGGGTAGAGTACTAATAAAGTTCATTAGCGCCAGTATATTGTTTGTAGAAACCATTATTTAGTAATAATTTAATAAAGCTTTCCTATGTTGGCCAACCAGAAACTTAATTTTCAGTTCATTTGTATCATTGTTATATAGTAATTAGCCTAATATAATAATAATAATATTTTGTAATGCCTAACTAACTAGACCTACCCTGTTAGTCCTATACTGGACACGCTAGGCTTAACCTACACTGAAATGGGTCTACAGACCGACTTACCAACACTTAGGCCCTAAGCCCAGGTTAGCCTTCTTGATCCAATACTACTACTGCTGTACTAGGCCTAGTTAGTCCTCCACAAATGGTCCTGAGTTCACCAGTCGGTCGTATGGATGGATGGGCTTCACTGACGCCGATGCTAGCATAAGTAGGCTACTCAGGCTACGGTTGGCTTAGGAAACAGTAGGCCTTAGGTTGTAATCATCATTGCAAGCAAAATCAACAGAAAGGCAAGTTAAAATAAGTTGAATATGTTGTTAAGAAAACAAGTCGAAATCACTCACTGCATGAAATTCTGTCTTAGAAAATGAGAGCACGTTACAAAAAGCACGAATGAATGGAAAAACAACATACAATACCGCCACCATTTTCAAGACAGAAGAATAACTTTTTAAACTGTAGAGGGGGATATTGATATAACTTTCGAGGACGGTGACAGAGGGTGGAAACATTTATTCAGTATATCTACAGTATCTTCAAAGCTAAGGCAAGACTGTTTATATCTTGTTTAGCGAACCCTCCGACCGTCAAAAACTTGCATAAATATAAAAATTTTCTTTTTTTAGGCAGTTAGCACACCCTCTGCTATGAAAAAATGGAAATTTCATAGAAAAATAAAATGTTACAATTACTTTTATTACACCCTCCACTTCCCTGAAATCTCCAGACATATTTCTTAATTATATAAATTTAAAAGCATCAACCTCATCATTACACTGTTTAATTCATTAATAAAATTTTATTTTTTCGTCCGCCAAGATGATTTTGCCAAAATCATTTTACTAAATGTGAGACCCAAAATTTATCTTTAATTATTTCCACCCTCCTTTCACTAAAAAGCAAGTTTAGCAAAACAAGGTATAAAAAATATCTCGCCAAAGATGTGTCTCGCTTAAAGCACAAATTTTCAAAGTGGTGGAGTAATTATTGACAAAATAAATACAATTCATAAAATTAAATTATCATAGTTAATACAAAGGAAAATCTCACAGTCATATTAACAAACATTCTATATACCAGATATGAGATAAATATATATTGGACTTTTAGTTTCACATTTTCAATATTTGTCAATTACGGTACACCATATTTATTAAAATAAACGCCCTGCAGCATTTATTGTTGAGAAGGTTCTTTTAGGGGGAGTTTATTTATGGATGGAATTTACTCTGTTTAAATTGGACTCAAATAAATGCCCCTAATTTCACTGTGGAACTACAACACAAATACCGTCAAAATGTATTATTGTGTGATCCTAACAAGAATATTATAATTCTACTGGAGTAGAATGTGTTGAGAATGATGTTGCTTCCATAGTTTAGTCATTTAGGGAGGCATGTATTCCAAATGAGGCACTGAATGGCAGGGGCCTTTATTCGAATACAGTTTTTAACTAAAAACTTTTAAAAATTAAATAATTCAAAATTACAATCTATTGAGTACCATCAAAATGGCTTCAGTCCGAGCAAGTTGAGCAGTAAATGCACCACTGCCAGGCTTTTAAGCAATTAAGCTCAATATTGTTACATGTCAAAGATTATTCCCTACTTTTATTTTGCAGCAGAGGGCACCACATTGCTTTTTTAAAGAAATATTCTTATATCTTCTCTTTTCATTATGAGCTCTTATGCAAGCCACGTTTCAGTTAATCTATTTCTTTAGCTTCCACTTTTAAGAGTCAAAATTCAGTAGTCAAGATTTTAGTCTGTCAGTAGCAATTATGTCCCTTTAGGCCCATAAAACAACTTGCAAGGTTGTTACATTTATTGAAGTTTCAGCTTTACTATTATATGATTTCACTTGTTAATATGACATTGGAAATTGTAGTGTTCTTGTAAAATCAGTGACTTTGATATCAGTCAAGTGAACAATTAAATGAAAATTGTTGCCCAAGCATAATGGCATTTGTCAAAAACGGCTAGGATTTTTAAGTTATGTTTAGGCAAACACCACTCACACACCTCCCTCCCTAAACAATTTGGTTGGTAAATTTTAACTAGAACCTGTAGTTATCTATCTATGTCATCCTCAGACGAGCCATAAGTAGATAGGTATAAACCTATTCATTCACTCATGGTATCTTTTTTTTTTTCAGCATGTAAAATACAATAACCTTAAAGCTTACATCATACTAATATTCTCGGTTCCTGATGGGGAAAAAACATTTTTGCAAAAAAAATTTAGAGTTAAGGGAATGGTTGGGCTTTGATAACACAATTCTTTTGTTAACCTAATGTGCCTGTCTCTTATACAC